ATATATATATATATATTAATCTTATGTTTTTTTTATAAAACCGTTTCATACATTTATTTTTTTTTACTTCTCCTCAGGCTCTGATCACTCAGGCAAGAACCAAGCAGGCAGCCACCATGAGCGAGGTGGAGTGGCGAGGGCGGACGGTGCCCGTCAAGATCGACAAGGCCCGCATCTTCCTGTTGGGTCTGGCAGACAATGAAGCCGCTATCGCTCAGGTCAGTATATTTAGTTCCTGCTTTGTAGGGGATCAAAACAAACTGCCCTGCACTCGATGTGAAGCCGTTGTTGTTAGCAGCTCTTAAAATCCTCACATGCCAGCGCTTAAAAATACATGCTAAAAGTGTTCCTATGGTCTAAAGCCCAAATGATTCGAGGGTACATGTGCTGTTAATTGTCCACATGCTTCTCAAAATATACGACTGTGTGGACCATACACGCCAGAAGACATGAGACCGGAATCGATCGCTACGTTTTGTCAAGGGTGAATTAGCTTTAGTGTAACTTAGCCTTGTTGGTAGGATGGCTCAGTATTTGTTGGTGTGTTGATTCTTCCTTCGGCAGACTAATGACGCTGATATGGTTTGACTTGTAGAAGTGTAGCTGATGTTTTTACATAGCTGCCAGTAAAGGTTTTTTTGGGAGGAAAGAGCAGTTTGTCCCTTTTTTTGTTTCCCGTCTGTTAGGTACTTGTTTGGGGCTTTGTGATGGGTTTTATTGGAGTGTTTTGGGGAGGAGTGCCTCTGTCCCTGTTGGGCTTGGCAGCGGGTTCACCTATGGGATTGTGGGAAGAGCTCTTCACTTGGGAGCATCTCTGTGGCTTTGAGAGGGTGGCTAGTTTCCTTTTTATTTAATAACAGCAACCCAATTAAAGTGTATGAAACAAATTTACAGGTTCTTTAAAATGTATGACGTGAATAAGAATTGTGTTAAAAAATAAAATAAAATAAGCTTGCAACTACTTTGAACTCCCTCAAAGAATCGCAATAGAAATGTCTCAAAAAGGGTGTATGGCCTAAGTTTTAGCAGAACAGTCCGCGTAGTTCCTACAACTTCCAGTAGGTGGCCCGCTCCTCTTTAGGGTCTCTTCTGTCACCTCATGTGTCCTTATGCCTGAAGGCTCAGCACACCCTGCAGACATACCTGTCACACCCACATCCACTCAGGTCTGCAGCATGCAGCCTCTCTCATTGCACGACTGCATTCTGTGCATTTCAGCCCACACATGAATACAGGGCGACACCCAGCAGGTCTCTGTGGACCGATTGGTATTATCATCTCTCAACACCTTCAGTTTCAAATGGCCGTTTGGGACTCAACTGTAGCGTTACAGTCCATTGGTAAGCCAATAGTGGTTGTAACTGAACGTGTGGGAAGCTGAATTATTATTTTTTTGTATCATTTATATTATAAAATAAAGTCCTCATCAACTGTCTTCAAGTGACGGAATGAATGTTGTAAAATTAGCAAGTCTTGGGTGCCATTTGTCCCATATTGCTCAATAGAAAGTCGAGAGTAATTCACACAAACGACTGGGGACAGAATGAGCTGGAACATGTTGCCGGTGAGAGGGAAGTCTGGGTCAGCCTGCTTGGCCTGTTGCCACCACGACCCGACCCCGGATAAGCGGAGGAAAATGGATGGACTGGGGACAGGAAACACCATATTGGGCCATACGTCAGTCCTAGTGGAAGAGCTCCGTCCACTCCTCCCTACTCTAATCGGTCTATCCGTCCAGCCCTCCTCCGCATAACAAGAGAGGATGCTCGACGGGTTGAGCCGGTCATGCTAGGCGTTGCCAGGGTGTTGGCATGAGTGAGTTGCACTAAATAACATCAGCTTCCTGGGTGGATGAGAGCAGCCGTACGACCTGTCTATTCTCACTGCGAGGAATTTTCTCGTAACATTCTTCCACTGTGTTGCTTGAGTTTTTTTTAAGGTGAATAAGTGACAGTAATGTCATCCCTAAAGGTGTTTAACGACTTTTACTTGAGTTAAAATAAAAAAAAATAAAAAGAAACTGTATCCACATTTACATTAAACCAACATGGCCTTTTTTTCTTTAAATATGAACGCATGTCTTGTAGACATGGGAGACTATCGTAGAGTAACACAGGCCTGTTGTATACGTCTGTCGATGAAAGAACGGTGAGGTGAAGAACAATCCTGTCACTCACAAAGATTTGAATCCTGAAACTCCAGAGTGAGATGATTGCAGATGAGTTGTGTGCAGGAATGTATCGGCGGCCTGCCGGGCCACATACCTGTGCCTTTCCCCCAGTTTGCCACAGTCCCATCCCTGCTGAAACTGTTGCTCTTTGCATCAAACCACTACGACTTCTAAACGGATGAAATAATTGCGTTGGCATGGCTGACTTTTTTAAATTTTTTATTATTGGCGCAGGTGTCATTTAAGAGCGTGTCTGAGTTCATATATTGAAGCCAATGTGTCTACATAATTAATCCTCAAGTTTATGTTTATGCTTTTTCATTTTTAAGATGTTATTGGTGCAACCACTCAGAATAGAAAGGCAAAGTCCCGCCCCTTTCTGTGGACCACCACAGGACCTTATTTCAGAAAAACAATATGTACGGTAGTCCACGGCAAGAGACGCATAATTTTTTGATCTCGTTTGAATTGAGCCATGAGTTATGCATATGTTTGTCAATTTAAAAGTCGTGTTAGTGACGTTTTTCGCTGAAGCTACGATGGCCGCGTGTTTCGTAATGAGATTTATTCGCAGAAAAAACGGGTCTTGCGCGTTCATTCGCTTCCCTGCTGATAAAGAGTTGCTGCTGATACATTCGCGCGTGGAGCATAGCTAAGTTACCTAGCTAGCTGGTGGGACTTGTACTGTGCGAGGTCGAGAGATGTTGTTCACACAAAACTAAGATATTCTACGACAAACTGCGACTGTCTTGACGTGCAAAATTAGATTTTAATTTGGCAAACATGTAATTCATGTCACAAGTCAAACGGGATAAAAATTACAACTATTGAACATGTTTTTTTCTGAAATAAGGTCCCATGGGGGACACTGGAACAGGCGGGACTTCGCCTCTCTATAGGGGATCACATTTGACCCTGTTCTTTTCTGCAGGCTACAGTTCAGTTTGCTGTCAAGTTGTTTCATGATTTCTTTTTCTACCGTAAATCTTTCTGCACCTTTTGTCGTTTCACTGTAACAGAATTGCACCACGGCTGCATATACGGCACTGACTGCACCACGCATGCGTTTAGACCGTTGGGGATTAACTAATCAGATCTGGTTAATAGATCTTAATTATTGTTTGTGTTGTGCAGACGGCTAATGAGGAGACCAAAGAGCATCTTTATGAGACCCTGCTGGCTGAGTGCAGAGACACCATCCAGGCTGTGAGAGAGGAGCTCAAGAGTGAGGCGGTAAGATACTGCAGGTCAAAAAGTTGGAGAGGGATGTTTGTATTTTTGACCTAGATTTTGGCTAACGGTTACATCATTAGTTTAATTTACAGCTTGCTAGCTAAGTTAAGACATAAGAAAAACAAGAATGGGAGAAACGTTCAAATCATATTGCTTGTCTTTGTAGAAGCAGCGAGAGAGAGGCTCCGACGGTGACAGCAACAAGGTGTCCAACCTGCAGTTCCTGCACAGGTAAAAGAAACGTGTTCTTGAAACAGTGACGTCATTGGTGCTGAACTGTCTCGGCCCGCCGCATGCAGAATACATGGTTTGATAATTGATGCATGTAATGCGTACCCAGAAACTCTTAATCGTACCCCCGTAGGAGATGTGAATGGAAACATCCAACTTGCCTTTTTATCCAGGCCAAAGCATGAATAATTATTTCTCTCTTGAATTTATCTCCCTAATAATCGAATAATAAATATGCTGTTGCTCTCCTCTCCCAGTTACCTGACCTACATCAAGCTGTGTACGCTGGTGAAGAGGAATGAGAGCATGGCCCATACTCTGCAGGCCAAGCTGAAGGAACCCGAAGCAGACGAGAGCAAGAGAGGGCCCCGTCCACAGGATCTCATCCGCCTCTACGACATCATCCTGCAGGTACATTCAATACATTGTGATCTTTTCAATCAGAAGCTGTTCCATGTATTGAGAAGATAGAAAGAAACGTGTTTCTTAGCTCATAGGTCAAAACAAAGGTCACTGCCTTTTAGATACATTAACTGTCCATAACAGCAGCATATATTTCGGTTAGTATAATACTTTAGACATTTGTTCTCATTTGCCAGTTTTCTGGTTACTGATTTGTTTGATCTGTGTTGTCGACGGTGAGGGTGATGTGTACAGACGATGTCACTTCCTTTTCAAAGTGTTAACTCACCTTCTGTTTCCCCCCCCCATCACCTCTCTAACTTTGCTCTGTTCGTCTGTCTCTCAAGAGTCTGGCTGAGCTCTCCACCCTGCAGGGCCTGGAGGATGACCACACCTTCCAGAAGGAGGTGTCCCTCAAGACGCTGGTCTACAAGGCCAACAGGTCAGTCCCAGTTCTTAACTTGACGTCGTTGAGCCCACAATGTCTTGCAGTTGCTGTCCTCTTGTGTTGATGTCTTTTTGTTGTCACTTTCTATACATGTGTTGTTAATGTGTTCCTCCCCTCTGAACCCCTCACAGGTGTTTCTTCATAGCTCAGTCGTATGTGCTGGTGAAGAAGTGGAGTGAGGCATTGGTGCTGTATGAGAGGGTGCTGAAATATGCCACGGAGGTCCAGTCTAAGACCAAGAACCTCAACAACAGCCTCAAGGTTGGTCCTATTTAAAAACAAGACAAACGATCTCTTAGTTCCATGCGATTTAATCTACAATCCATCATGAAAAGGTCAGCTTACACGTGTTGACCATAAACACAAGCAAATTAGAAATGAAATAAACTCCACAGAGATTTCTCTGGTTTTGAAAGTTAGTCTGAAAGATTATGTTGTCAAATAAGTCCCTGTGACCATCTGTACTTGTCCCTGTTGTATCTGTGTTTCTGCAGGATCTCCCGGACGTTCAGGAGCTCATTGCTGAGGTCAACGCCGAAAAATACTCCCTTCAAGCTGCTGCTATTTTAGGTGAGCGCACCTTTTGAACTGACAAGTTTTCTACTCATTTGTTTTTAATCGTATGAGAACCCGTTTAGTCCGGCCTCTTTGTTCTGACTCGTTCTGCGTACAAACCTTCAGAAATGTGTTTGTGTTTCAGACACTGATGAGACTGCTGAAGTTCCCTCTCAGCAGCAGGTCAAAGACAACACGGTAAGAGAACAAAGTCAAGAGATAAATATTGTCTTTCATCATGGAACGAGGCAAATCCATCATGAAAACCGCATTTTTATGTATTTCAAAGAGAAATTACTTTCTAAGTGGTCCGATCGCTGAACTGTTCACACTACACAGCTCACTGTCTTGTAATCCTAAAGTCATTGTGGTTTTCACACTACTTGACTTGACACACAAAAGGGGGTCACACAGGGAATTATGCGATGGCATGCGTGAGACATTTTCGTTCAAGCAATCAGCAGAACTTTCCTTGTAGCCATGTTTGTTGATGTTGTCGATGGCACACGTGTTCACAAAATGGCCTGTTTTTACTGTTTATAGCCCGTTTCCTCTACTGGAGGTGCAACACCAGCCCCATGTTGCAAATGTAACTCATACAGTTCAGTTCCTATTGTACAGGTGACCCCTAGGCCAATAATCCCCTCAATCCCTGTCCCTTGCCCTCATTGGCTGTAGCTCTCCGACAGACTCCCAACATTTGAACAGTTCACATGTAGCGCTCGAGCGCCGATATGCCTGTGAGCTAGGGCTTGTTGTCGAGGAGCTCCAACATTTTTGTGAACTAGGCATTAGTTTCAGGTCAGTGATTTGAATTTAACGAAATTAAACCAAAACCATTTAGTTGTCTTCCACAAATGTTGTTAAAGTGAGAGTTTGTGGCACAACTTCAATTACTTCCAAGGTGAATGACAGTCTTAAGAGGGCAAACTACAGCAACACTTGTAGTTCATAGAACAGCTTTATTGTCCTTTATGCTACGTGTTGCTGGACTTGTGACCTCTTCGATAAATGTTGGGTGTTTTATGCTGGATATCTGAGTTATTGATGGAAGCGTGCACTTCTCCTTCACGCAGCCCCTCTGCAACCGTCTGGAGACGTTCCGCCTCGAACCCGCCCTCGTGGGGAAGCAGCCCAATTTGGTCCAGTTCCCTCCCGACTTCCAGCCAATTCCCTGCAAGCCCCTGTTCTTTGACCTTGCTCTCAACCATGTGGCCTTCCCACCCCTGGATGACAAGGTGGAGCAGAAGGGCAAGGGGGGTCTCACCGGCTATATCAAGGGCATCTTTGGCTTTGGCAGCTAAATCAACCCCCGAGGCTTTGGATTCAGCAGGACAAGGTCCCAAGTTCACCACAAACAAGCAGACTTGGGTCAGTCGTTAATTAGAATAATTTAAATTACTTTCATGTCTTTTTTTTTTTTTTTCTTTTTTTTGTGCCTAAGTGCAAGATGGGTGGAGTTTGCAGCTCTGAGGAAGTGATTTGATATGACCCAAGTTCACCTGCCACCTTTAGTAAAAACATCAGGCTGCATCGGTCTCTAGCATACGGCTCCCTCTTTCATTTGAGCTATGGAGTCTGTCTTTCAGGTTTTACAGGGTACCATGTCTGTAGCTACAGCCAAGTTGTCAATCTCACAATCCCGTCAGAGCAAACGAAGCCACTTGGGCGTCATTAGTAGTGTTTCTTTTCCATTGTCATGTAAGCGCCTTCATGTAATTACGTCAGTTCTTTCTTTATGTGAGATCTTTTTTTTAACATAAAACTTCCAGCATGCAGTTTTGTTATTGCAGCTACTTTAATTAAAAAAAACAAAGTAGTGCTTATCAAAACACCATAAATATTCTGCGAAATGGAGTTCCAACAAACTGAAGCCGTTTTATCAATCATCATGGTTTTCAGAAGACTTCTGCTGCGATCCAATTCGTCCCTCCACCGTTGCTTTGGTTCCTCCTGCTTTTGACTGTGCATTCATTTTTTAGTTGTCAACTACAACCGATACGGGTCATAATGCATATGTTGTCCTGTATGACATTAGGCACCAAAAGCGCCACCATGTTAGAGAAGTTTTCAACTTTTTAACGCCCCTCACTGTGTCGCGTTTTCTACCAAAGGGCCTGCTCGCTGGTGACCGTACGACACCAGTGCAGCTCTTCACACTGTAATCAATTCATGTTATGTCTTTTTTTAATTTAGCCATTTTTATTTGCATTTCATCAGAATCGATGTCGTAGAAGAGCAGTCGACATTAGTGAATGTAGGGAGTTTTTAGCACACAACTACGCCTGTTTGTCATGAGTAGGACTCAAATGTTTTCATCAACAATGACGTGTCTATGGATATTGTGTAACTATAAAGAGCTTTAGAGGTATATTGTTTGCCAGTCATAATGTCCACGTCAAAGCCGCTCGTTTTCTGTGATCCTTATTAAGGGACCTTGTTTGCCTGCGATAGCTGGTTGAACATGAGCTAGAGCATTGGTTCAGTGTCACACTTTCACCCCAACAGTTAACTGTTACGCTTACTCATTTCTATCAATGTCTTTGGTTTGAATTTAAGTTGTTTTGTTTTTTTTTCAGTGTTTTTTGTTAAATAATCGAGGTGGAAGTGTTGGAGTAGTTCTGGAAAATAAACCGTTACGATCAATATTTGTTGGAAACATAAGTGGAACAAGAAATGAACTGATTTAAAATGTATGATTTGATCTCATTTCCAGACCTATGATTAAAATATATTTGCACCAAAGACTGATCTCTTGACTTTTTGTTCACTTCTATTCTCTTAAAATTCATTTCAACTTACTTCCTTGTGATTCAGAGAAGGACCGTGATGGAGGAGAACAAAGGGCTTTCATTGTTGCATGATCTGTGATTTTGTTAGAATTAATTTAAAATAAACTCATTTAACAAAGTAAAAACGTCTGAAGGGAGTAAAGAGGAATGACTGTCCTCTTGTCTCGGGTGTGGGTGTGTTAGCTGGAGTGCGTCGGATGCCTGAGCAGGGTGTGAATGTGTTTGGGTCTACTTTGCATATACGCGTTTTGATTGAATGACATAGGTGTGTTTGATACTCAAACACTATTAGTCTTACAGATTACAGCGTCAAAGGTCACAAGTATATATGAATCGACACAAGGCCTCTCTACCTGAGGACTTATTGTTGCCTCCATTTCTTTTTAACACGTGCTTTGTCGCTCCAGGAACACAAAACTGCTCTGCTTGGATGAACTGAAGACATTTGATGAGGTGGAGATAAATATTTATGCAGGAAAAGAACAGATAAGACAGTATCAGTAACAGTATTTTTTTTTTTTAACTTAATTCATTTATTCATATTTATTTTGCTGTTGTAAGACGAACAGGTGAAAAACCTGGAAGTTAATATTTTCACAGATATGAAAACATGAAAAAACAGTTCTACATGCACATACCTTTGTTATGCAGATTGGACAGCACGTGTACTTTTTCCGGGGAATAAAATGTCAAAGGTTCAGTACGAGCATTAAAGCTTTTGTAAGATTGCCTTTTTAAACCAGACAACCATGCTGTTTGTCTGCTGCCGACACACCCTCACTGTGTTTCCACCTTTGTTGTTTCCTCTCAGTTCAAATGCTATGTTTTATGTTGCCATGTTAACTACCACAATGAACTTGAGGTTGTTTTGAATCACAGTTAGCTATGGCTCTATGGATGACAACGTCTGTCTGTTGGCTCCACGGAGGGCAACCGGCATGCACTTGGGTCAACGATAACCTCACGAGGTCGAAGCGGTCACAGTTTTTAAAGGCAGGCGCCACAGTTGCTCTCCCCCGAGTGCATGACCCAGGGCATGATGAGAAAGCTGTCAACAGATCAATGAGCTTATTGGCTTTTAGATTTGACAACAAACACCAAGTTTTGTAGAAAATCATATTTTTCTGTGTAATTGTAATTTGTAACCCTGGATTGTTGGCTCCATGAATGGCAACAACTATGGATTGCTAATACTTTGGTTCAGATATGCATGTACTCCTCAGGATGAGTTGTACAAACTTAGATTTCCTGACTTTTCATCTTGCTTTTAACAGGTCAAATACAATGCTGGGCTATGACCAATAATTAAACTAACTACCAGGTAATTGCAGATTTTCAGAACAATTTCTGTCCACGTTGGATTCACAGATCATTTTTTACTTTAGAAGCAGTTGATGAAACACTCACCATGAGGTCTCTTTAGTAGCTGTTCTGGAGCTTTTGTTCTTATCAAGAATTATTTAAATAAGAAAATAGAATGAATAGTTTATCTGGACTTTAAAGGACATCTACAATGTCATCTGCTGAGGAAGACCATGTGTTTTGATCAAAAGCTCCTTTAAAGTTACTAAATGGACCTTGTGATGAGACTATCTAAGTAGCCCAGATCTTGCCCAAAATATTTCCTCATTAAATATAAAATATTTAATAAGAAGCTGTTTTGGGTGTATTTATGGAGTGGAATGTGGCTCCACATACATCTCTAAGCAACAGAAAGAGTATCTGTTTTTTCAGACAACTAGACACACCCAGAGAGAGACACCGTATGACTGGCCTGATCAAAAATGTGTGCTCTCTGTGCTGTTCCCCACTCTGCTGCAAAGAAAGCGGCCCAACTGCATTCCTCGCCATGTCAAAATAAAAAAAAGACAAATTTGGATGTATGAAGGTTAACACAAAGCTAACTGATACGCCTAACATTAGTGTCTGGTTTACAAAACAACTACAGCACATTGTGTGGAACTGGAAAAAGAAGGGGGGGTCCAGGGAATTCTCCCCTTCCACTTTTTAAAAAATAAACAATCTCTATTTTGATGCATTTTTTTGCACTCTGGCACCTTATTTACATTAAAAGTACAACAAAAACAAACAATGTTTATTTTCATTGTGAATTAGAAGAGGGTAAGTGGGCAGGCGGCAACATCTGGGTCTGAAAAGTGAAGCCAATGCCGAAGTGCGTTTAACTTGTATTCTCTCTACAGGCCATCAGGGGGCGACTCCTCTGGTTGCAAAAAGAAGTCTGATTGTATAGAAGTCTATGAGAAAATGGCCCTACTCCTGACTTGATTTATTAAATTAGTCAACATTATAAACGTGAGTTTATGGTCTCAATTGCTAGTTTTAAGTCTTCTTCAATACAGCATGATGTGCATTCAGTACATTCTGGTCCATTTAGAGTAAAATAGACCATAAAGCAGGGTATGCTTTAAGGTGTGGCTACCTTGTGATTGATACTCAGAGTTATCTGGGTTTTTTTAACTTTAACCCTTTCACAGTTTTCATTTTATGAAAGTTAATTGCAACATTTTTGGTCACCTAAAAATGTCTTATACAGCATTGGGTTGTGCTTATAGCTCCACCCTCTCATGTCACTTCTGGTTGCAAAAAACCAAGATGGTGGCGGGCTACCTGGTGAAAGAGATGTGACAGGAAATGAGGAGAGAGAGAAAGACTCCAAGAGATATGTATTAATGGTAATTAATGGGGCCCTGCTCCCTGTGAGAGATCTGAGAGTGTGTCAGAGCCCAGATGAAAAGGAAGGGCAGGGCTGAGGGTGGGAGGAATGGTAGAGAGTGCAGGGAACAGGTCGGTCCAGTCTTCCTCTGCAAGGTGGATGTCTGGGTGGTGACACACCTGCTAACCTGTCTGGGAGGAGCTGCCATCGTCAAACCCTGCTCTGACGTGAGTGTGTGTGTGTGTGTGTGTTTGAGAGGAACCAAAGAGAGAGGAGAGAAGAGTGGGAGCCACAGGGTGACGAAGACAAGGACGAAGAAGGAGTAAAGGAGAGAGAGAGAGATTTTTGTTTGCCTGACCCCACACAACCTCCAGGATGTTTAAGAAAAAGGAGAGTAAGGACAGTACGCTCAAGGGCTCGAGCAAGCTAAGCAAGTGAGTTTTTTTCCCCAGAAGACTTTATGAATGTAATGCACGCATTAATGTATGTGTGGTGGCACTGTATCTCGGTCATGTCACCCCTCCTCCTGTTCTTCCCCAGCCCAAAAACTGTGTCATGTTTCCTGTGCGTGCCGTTGTCCTCTTTCCCTCTCAGCGTTGCCCTCCTTTTGCATTATGGCTGCGTTGAAAGTTTGCTCAGGCAGTTTCTCCACTGAATTCAAGTGCTGTGTTAAGCCAAGGTTAATCCTCAGTGATGGAGAAAGCTTCACGAGATGTTTGACAGGCTGTTTGCAGGGCCCTGGGGTCAGGTTTACTTTGTAAACATGAGGTGGGACAGTGTGCTTAAAGACAAGAGGTGGAACTCGGGAAAATAACTGGAGGTGGAAATCACAGAGAGAACAAATGTCATCAGCTCTTTTCAATCTGCATGGGTGTGTTTTCACCAAATCGGAGTCGAGACTTACACTCGAGGCGGGTAGCAAAACATTGTTGCTGGTGATCATATTTCAATGGGAAAAAAAAAATCTCTATCCTCTGAGAAGTGTGTGTGATGTGGCTTTTCTTGTGTCTGGCTGCTGTTTAAGACGTAGAAAAATATGTGTCGCTCACACAGTACATGTCATAAAATTGTTGGGTGGAGGAAGAAGGCTGGTGGCAACTTGATGAAGAAAAGTTGTTAAAAAAAAAAAAGCTTAATTTGATGTGAAATGTCCCTTTCATGTATCAAACGTAAGGAGATATAGACAGTAAGGAGACAAATGTTCATTCATTGTAAAGCGTCAAAAGAAAGTTGCTGATCTCACTGCAGGTGAAGAGAAGACAATTTCACTCTGTCCTGTACTTCTCTTAGTAATGATGAGAACAGGTTGTATTTGTAGTCTCAAAAAACACGAGATTTATTGACATAATGGCTTTTAATGCACTTTTAAATACACAGTGTGTGACAAGACCATCAGTTTGTCAGACGACGGAGAGAGAGACACATTCAGCTGCCAAAATGATTCAAACATTCCACCTTTTTTGTCCCTGTTTGATGTCACAATACTGACGTGGTTTCACAGGCAGGTGGTTTCGCCTTCCTTCTATACCCTGGACATGTTGTGTGACTGCCGATGTGTGAGGGCTGGGCAGTCTCTACTGCTCAGCTGGTTTCTTTCTCTCATGAGGGCGTTGGTTCCCAACTGTACTTTATGACAGAGGACATGTTGCTCACTCCATTCAGCCCTGAAGAGGTTCCAATCAGCAATTAAATCAATGAAGACAGTGATGAAAAGGGCTGCGACTAAGGATTATTATTATTGTTGAGTCATATTTTGTTTTTTCAAATTTTTGATTCCTAATTTGGTTTATGAATTGTCCGCAAGTCCACAGCACAATCTCCCAGAGCCCACGTTTTGTTTGTTTTGTCTGACCAACAGCCCATAGATATTTATTTTTTATTCCAATTGAAATGATAGAAAACAGAGAAACACAGCAAATCCAGCAAATATTTCCCATCTTTACATGACTTTGATTATTAATCGATAATCAAACTTGTTGTTGATTCATTTTCTATCCATCGACAAATAGATTGTCAGACTGAGCTGAGAGATGAATCAATAATTCTTTTCTTTGGTTTCATACCAGCAGAAGTGTCTACGCTGCTGAGGACTGTCAGCATTTAAGGTCAACTGTTGTCTTTGTGGATAGTCAACGGGCAGAGCGGAGCTTTTAATGAACTTATTCCAATAAAGTTAAATTCCTCTTTGTGCTGTGATTGGTGCTGAACCTGCTGAGAATATCTCCAGCTTTGTGCTGCTTTCAACCGCTTTGAGCCCCAAAATTCAACACAACTGAATT